TAGAATGATACCTAGTGCAATCTTCGAAACGTATGGTGTATCCTACTTCCTGACCTAACTTAGCGCCAAACTCTTCGGCAACTCTCTTTGCGACAGACATAGCGGCCACACGTCTGAAACAAATCACGATGTTCAACAATGACAAAAATAAATGAGCTGCGACGATTGCAACATTAGCAAATAATATCATTATTAGCAATTGGATGGGGAAGAAAACGGTGTACAAAACTTCTACTCTGCAACGTGAGATAGATTATACTTACCTAGGCTGCGTACAACCTATCCGCCCTTTGCGGGCGAATCCTGCTTCCACAGCATACTGCGTTATCTGAGTAGTTTTACCCGATCCAGTTTCTCCAATTACAACTAGTATTTGATTATCAGACATGGCCTAAGATAATGCAGAATTACCGAAGTGAAGCACTGCTTTCAGCTAAACTCACTTGTAACAAGGCTTTTTTTAAGCCGAAAATGGGTAAGGACTCCCGCTGTTCTTTCATGCTCAGATTCGTGCGTTTGCCGTAAGTGGCCTTTCCTCCTGCTGTGACATGTTTCATCCATTCTGGCATGTCCTAAATTTTTTGTAAGATGCATAGTGCTCAAACGAAAAACGATAACCATTGACATACCCTGTCTCGTCTCATCGGCCCTCTGTCATCAGTATTATCCACGTCTCTTTCTTGCATCGGATCAAGTATGCGCGTGCTGACAGACTTCAAACCGCTACTTCTTTCGGCATCTTTCTCACGATTTGCTTGAATTTTTGCTTCCCTTCGCTCTTTCGATAGAGCACTCTTAACATTATAATCATAAAAAATGTAAGTAGACAACCGCAAGACAATACCCAACAACAAACCTGCATGAGAGCAGCTTGAGCCATGCTTCCATCAGGGTTCTTGACCACCTTGACAGGTTCAATCTCCTGATTACCCTTACCATATCCACGCAGGAATTCTGGTTCGTCCTCCACGATTTCAACCTCGTAATCCTCGCCATCACTTTCTTCTATAAAAAGATCAAAAGGTCCACAAATTTATTTGTTTGTGACAGGGTACGGCTAGCAGTAACTTACCTTCTTCTCCTCTCAAAACTCCAGACTCTTCATCAAAATCTGGACGATCCATGTTGGTGACCACGCCAGCGCCCATCATTTGTTGCCATTCCCACCTTTCCGGAGTAGACATTCGAACACGGCTCTTACTGAAAGCCCATTAGTTAGAATGGCAAAAGAGGCATTTGATATCTGACTAGAGGAGTGGCATGTGACTATGCATGATGAAGGACATACCTTGTTCCAGTAGCTACGGTTCCATTAACGCCAGATGAGCTTTCAGGATTCACCCATGGAGCTTCTGGATTTCGCAGATCGCTAACGCCGACAGCGTCCACGGGAAGTGGAGCTTCCTGAGGATTGAGATCTTCTCCGGTCTCTTGATCCACTTCCTTCAGAGACAGAGACACTTTTCCACCTTCCATTTTCAAAACCTTAAACACATCTTCTTAGAAAAAAGGTGCGAAACTTCAAATGCGAGAGTAGTGAGCAAATGACTAGTACGCTAAAACTCACTTTGACTTTCACTTTTTGACCTCTACTAAGCACATCAGCAACAGCATTCACTCGTTCGTTCTTGAGCTGAGAGATGTGGCACAAACCTTGCGTTTGTTGCCGTATTCCTTCGAGCTGAAAAAA